GTGCAGGAGCCGCTGATGGAGGAATACAGCATCGCCACCCAGGTGTGGAAGCTCAGCTCCTGCGATATGTGTGAGCTGGCCCGCAACAGCGTGCTCATGAGTGGCTTCTCGCACAAGGTACTACAGCGCCTGCCTGGACCTTGGCATGGCATCGCTCCTCCCCTCCTTTGCATTTGGGGTCCTGACCTGTCCCTGGGATGGCTTGGGGTGGGGCACGGCCCCTCAGCACTGGCTGCAGCCCTGCCCATTACCCCTGCTCCCTGCAGGTAAAGAGCCACTGGCTGGGACCCAACTATACCAAGGAAGGCCCTGAGGGGAATGACATCCGCCGGACGAATGTGCCAGACATCCGCGTGGGCTACCGCTACGAGACCCTGTGCCAGGAGCTGGCGCTTATCACGCAGGCAGTCCAGAGTGAGATGCTGGAGACCATTCCGGAGGAGGCGGGTATCACCATGAGCCCAGGGCCTCAGTGAGCCTGGTCCATGAAGTGCCCACCACATCGCAGCACTTTTACCACGTTTTGTCCTCAGACCCCTCCCATGCTGTGTGGTCTCTGCATGTCTCCGTTCTTGTCTGTCTCTGTCTTGCATGTCTCCGACCATGTCACTGTCCCTGAGCCGCCCAGTGAAAGCAAAGCCTGGGAATCTGCTCGTTGTTGTTCGGGCTCAGGTAGCACCTGACGGCCCAGGTATTGAGGGTCCCCCCTGCTGGTGGCCCTGTCCTGGGGTCCTTAGAAGCCTGACTGTCCTACGGGATTCTCCAGTGTCCATAGGGGCTTGGGATGGTTGTGGGGGGCTGGCCCCTCTAGCCTTTCAGGTCCTTCCTGGACAAATCTAAGCCTTGGCCAGGGCTGGAGTTTAGGCCCCTGTCTTGTTCATGTAACCGAGGGGCAGGCGGGGGACCTGTACACCTCTGCTGTGGGCACGGGGCTGCTGAGGGTCTGTGGAACTCCAGCAGCTCCGCACTGGCTAGAGCTGGGCTGAGAGCTCAGTCACAGCCCTGGGCTTCCTGGCCTAAGTGGGTAGACGCAGGTGGCAGAGGTGCTGGACCACATCTCCACCAAGTCACTGCCCAGCAGCCTTCTCCGTCCTGTCCCCAGCCCACGTGCTCCTTGGGTGTCAGCTTCCTGTGCCTCTGTGGGAGAGGGCAGCTGCCTTGTGTTATGTCTGGGGCCACGGTCACTGCAAGGTCCTGGATCTGCCACTCAACCCTGGGAGTGGTGTTCCCAGTGTGGCTCCCAGAGCTTTGACCAGATCCTCATCCCAGCTGGCCCCTGTGTTATGTTCTGGACCGAGGCCTTTGCTGTGAACTGCAGTGTTTCATACGACCCATCTTTCCTAGTGCATGAGAAATAAAGATTATTTAATTAATGAAGCAGGTGGGGTTTCTGTTGGGAGAGGAAGCACCATGGTGGGAGGTGGCTGTGGATGGAGGCACTGCACATTCTGAGGGGAGGGACTAGTCTTGGGTGATGTGTATGTTGTGCTTGTGGAAACTGACAAAGGAAGCTGTGGGAGAGAGGAGATACCCATCCGACCCTCATCTAGCCTGTCCCCCATGAGGGGGACAGTTAGCCCCAGGTCTGCAGCACATCCCTGTCACACCAGCTCGGGGGCTGATGTCTGTTTCCTACCTTGTACTTCTTCCCCTCTTCCAGCCTCTGAGGGGATGGCCTGGTAGGTGGGGACTGTGCACCTACAGGCAAACCCGAGGCCAGGGTCTTCTGGGGGGTCTTATTTAGATGGCCCTCTCGAGGCCATACTCTCAGAGATTCTGATTCAATAGGCAGAAGGTGTGGCACAGACATCTGCAAACTCTCGGGCAGATTCTATTGCAAGAGGTTGGCACAAGCCTGTGCATTCTGATTCCAGCGCCTCCCCCCACAACCTCAGCCTGTGTCCCATGTTTAATACACAATTTCTGGAGCACCTCCCTGGCACAGAGGTTGCTGGAGTCTGTTCCCCAGGTAAAGAAGGAAAGTGGAATGTGCCCTGGGCTGTGCAGGGTCCTGGGTGGGCCGAGAGAAGCCTGTCGCTGCCCCTGCTGCTGGCTAGGGAGGCCTGTCCTCCCCTGGCTGGCTGCCTCAGAAGCGATTAGCCCTGGAACAGCATGAGCCTGTGTAATTGAGGGCCTGCCCAGAGCCAGAGCAGCTGGAGCAGGAGGGGGAGGCTGGGAGGCCGCTGGCTTCCTCCTCCCTTCTTGTCAGCTGCTCTCCCTCACCCCAGCCTCTTTCAGCAAGCAGGTCTGCACCTGGCCCTGGGCCTCCCAGCAGGTGCCCCGGGAAGACGCTCTCCTCATCCCTCCTCACTTCCCATTGGCCAAGCCCTCTCCCGGTCAAGACCCGAGGCCCTTCAGTTCAGAAGACACCCCTTGCCAATTCATCCTGGCCACTTACATGTCACAGAATTGAATGCTGGAGCCCAATGAGGGTGGGAGGTGGTGAGTCCAGGGCTCCCCCACCCAGGCTGGGCCTTGGCTGCCCAAAGATCCCCCTTTACAAGGGTGAGAGGGACTCACTTTTCAAGTAGGTGAATAATAACACACCTGAGCTATGTCTTGTCTTTGTTTTAACAAGGAAGCAGGATTAAAAGATCTTTCTAGAAGGTCTTTCGGAGGCAAGAACTGCCTGTCCCGTCTGCCAGCACTTAGGACTCTATATTTACTCGTTGAATTTGTCATTTAATAGAATCCTTCAGTTCACTTTCTTGTCTCCTGTTTTTCTTAGTGTGTGCTGAGGCTTAGCTCTAAGAATATTACTAATTTGAAGTTCCTAGCAGCCTCTCCATGGTTTATTTTTGAAACAAGGTCTTGCTCTATCATCTAGGCTGCAGTGACCTCCTGGGCTCAAGTGATCCTCCCACCCTAGCCTTATGAGTAGCTGGGACTACAAGCACGTGCCACCTTCATCATGCTGCGCAGGCTGGTCCTGAACTCCTGGGCTCAAAGTCCTGGGATTATAGGCGTGAGCCACCGCGCCCAACCCACAATTTATTTTTTAAACAACTTCCCTCTGGTTTCTTAGTTTCTCAGAAATTTCTCTTTCAAATATTTGTGAAGAGAAAATAATCTTAAAACAGTAAGCCCTTAATACTTCTTCCTATCTGAAAAGAAAATCATTTTCGTTAAAAAAAAATTGGAAAATAAAGAAAAACAGGAAGAAGTAAAAAGCCCACTCATAATCTACCAAATATTCAGTTTCACCAAGTATTTGCTGCATGCCTGAGATGTATGTAGATATTTTAATACATATCTATGCATATTTGTGCGTTCTTTTCAGTTCTTTTAAAAATCGTATTTTTGAGTTGATTTCACATGGATAATTTGGGCTTTTAAAAATATTTATTATTATTTTTTTGGAGATGGAGTCTCACTCTGTTGCCCAGGCTGGAGTGCAGTGGCACAATCTTGGCTCACTGTAGCCTTTGCCTCCCAGGTTCAAGTGATTCTCCTGCCTCAACTTCCCAAGTAGTTGGAATTACAGGCGCGTGACACCCACACCTGGCTAATTTTTTGTATTTTTAATAGAGACAGGGTTTCACCATGTTGGTCAGGTTGGTCTCGAACTCCTGACCTCAGCTGATCCACCCACCTCAGCCTCCCAAAGTGCTAGGATTACAGGTGTGAACCACCGGGCCTGACCCCGGCCTATTTTAAAAATTATTTTAACATATGTCTTTCCACATGTCATTAAAATACTCTGCAAATATGAATGTGAACTACTGTGCACCACCCCCTGGTGAGCCTCCCATGGTTTATGATTACAGCTCTCCTCTGTTAAGAATAACTGTGGCCTAATGTGACCAACAATGTGCACTCTGGGTTTGACTTTTGGTTCCACCACTTTCAGGCTGTGTGACCTTAGGCAAGTTACTTCCCCTGTCTGTGCCTCCAGGTCCTCACCCATTTCATGGGGATAATAATAGCACTTTTCTCATGGGTTGATTTCGGATTCAATCGGCCACTGGATATAAAGCACTAAGCAAGAACTCAGTAAATATTAGCTATTATTATCTTTGCATAAATCTCTCCGGATTATTCCCTTAGTGTAGATGCCCTGAGTGAAATCACCAGGTCCAAGGTAGAATTTTTTCACTGTTCTTGATAGAAATGAATCAAGGTATGTGAGCCGAAATAAAAAGTCATTTCCTTGCCCTCGACCTTGCCTGCACCTTCCATGCCAGCCCGTCACCTCCTCTCTTTTGGAGCCCCACGCCCTGCCCTTCCTCTCGACCTGCTCTGTGTGCCTGTGTGTGTGAAGGAGCCCACATCTTCTTTCTGGTCAGGGACCAGATCTTACATGGAATCGGGGGGTGGGGGAAAGAGGGTGGGTGGCAAAGGGAGTAAATAAAACAGGCAACCCAACCAATGTTTGGGGCCTGTCCTGAGTGAAATCGACACTGAGGGACTGTCCCTCATCTGTCCCTAAAGCTTTCGGACTCGGAAGCATGAGGGCCGTGTGCCAGGCCACATCTCACATGCCCTGCATGGGGTCACCTCTCCATGCCCACTCCTGGGGGAGTGGAGGAGAGTAACTGGGGAGCTATCTGGGTCCCCAGGCTGGGGTAGAGGACGGGTAAGGGTGTTTGGTTGGGTGACAATAATCCTGATTTCTAAACCCTACACCAGAACATTTACCATATCAAAGTATTGCCTCACTTATGAATGTATTCATATGAAATTCCAATAAAGGCCTAAGCATTAACTCAGATTTAATTCAATGTTTGACAAATCACTTTATTTTCAAAATAAGAGTGAAATTGCCCAAATTAGGATGCCCTGAACAATCTGGGGTGGGTGGTCTCTGCAGCTGCACCTGAAGCGGGCAGCCTGTAGGTCTAGAGATGGGGACCATCCAAATGCCTTGATTTTGTGCGCACACCTGTCTTCTCCTGGCAGGCCCTCAATGCCGCCCCACCCCCGGGCAACACAGGGAGCTGAAAGAAAAGTTTGAGGGCTGCAAAAAAAAAAAAAAAAAAAAGTTGAAATTGACAAATGTTTAATGAAATGCCTTCAGAAAGTCGCATGTCAATTTTAATATTTGTTAAGTCACATGTCATTATATTTGAAAACAATTTGTAAGTTGGATTTTTGACAAGAGTTCCAGAATATGCAATATGATGAAACAGAAATCATAGCCAATAGTAAATTAAGTGAGTTACTCAGAGTCAAGTAATTTCAAAAGCAAATTTATAAAAACCCCTTTAAAGCAAAGTAGAGTTCTATTTAATGAGGGATGTGGGTGCATTTTAAATGCAAGTGAGGGTGGGGCCTCCAAGAATCAGACGCAGGGTCTATAAAGGACTTACTTAAAATGGCTCAGCCCCGCAGTCCCACTCTGGGCCAGGGGGTTGGCTCAGTTGTTGGTCTTGCCATCACCTTCAGCCCCTCCTGCCTCCCTAAATAGTCTGGGCAGATTTGGAGCAGCTACTGCTGCCACTGGCATCTTCCCTGAATCTGTGCAATGGATTCGCACAGCTGGAATTTCTGTCTCCCCTTTGCAGATGAGAGACTGACCTGGGTTTAAACCTGAATGTTCTGTTTATTATTTGGGCAAGTCAGCCCTCCTCCCTGACTTCCCAGGCTTGGAGGAGATATGCAAAGGGGAGTGGCTACCAATCCATTCCCAGCCTGGGTCCCAAGCCACGGCTGGGGTATGCTGGTGTACCTACTACGCATTTGCCATGGTGGGGTAAAATACCTATGAGCACCTGGCATTGGGCTGAGCTCTTTGTAAGTGTGAATGTACTTCCAGCTCCTAGGACTCTGCATGATCTCTATCACCATCTTCCCGCACGTCAACAGGGAGAATGAGGTTTGGGAGGTTATGTAACTCATCCAGAATGACTCAGCTAATGAGTGCCAGAGCTGGGATGTGACCCGAGAACTGTCAGGCTGCAAAGTCTTTCTTCCTCCTACTCTATCATGGTCCCTGAGATATGTGTCTGGTCGAGGGGGTCCCTCTAGGGGTGGGGTGCTCAGGGAAGGGACAGGGTCAGGCTCTGATGAGCAGACGGATCCGTGCGGGTGAGTCTGGAGGCAGAAGGGTCATTCATGGAGGAGGCTCCTGCCACATCCCGGGTGTGATTGACAAGGACCTGGCTGGTGGCAGTGTGGGTGGAGAGGAGCTTTTGTGGGGAGGCTGTTAAGACCAGTAGTTAAGACAGAGGCGGTAGAGGTGGCCACAGGATTGTGATTGGCTGGCACAGCCTGATGAGAGATGGAGAATATGAATGCTCTGAGGCGGCTGCTAGCCTGACCCCTCCCGGTTACCTTATACCCATCCCAATCCATACACGGCCAGGGAGGTACTGGGCTTGTGATCCCTGGGTTCTATCCCATGGCACAGCTATCACTTATTAGCCATAAGATCCTG